CACCCAAACCCATCCCGCCGCCACCACCGAGCCACAGGGAGCCAAGCGCACAATCAGCGTTGGCGCGAAGAAGCGCGAGCAACTACGCGAGCACTTCCTCAACCACCCCTACGGAAGAAATACCCTGGCTTTGAGGAAGCGGCATGAGGCCTACGTGGCAGGTGGTGGTATGAATCCTACTCCCTCACCTGTTTGTTATTGTAAGATTGTCATACTGATGTAGCTGGCGTAGAAAAACTTTAGGGAGTTTCAGAGGCAGGAGAAGGCGAAGGCTAAGCGGGCTGCGGTGAGAGAGGCGAAGAAGAAGGAGATGTTGGCGGAGAAGGAGAAGAAGGGTGATAAGTCCGCTTGAGGGCTTTTAATTTGGTGTTTGTACTTTGGAGTTGGTGATCCCTCGAGATCTGGAATTTAATACAAGCGTTTATGACGTATAGGCAGAGGGAAATTTGCGTGATTGTGATGGTGATTTGTGAAGAAAGTATATCAGAGTCTCACTTAACTAAAGGGAGAATAACTACAAGGTTTATATAGAGATGTGTTTCTATGTTTCTAGGATGCGAATAAGTATATTCGAGGCGCTTTGGTATATGAACTTAAGAGCTTAGGTAGCTTATGTTTATGAAACTTTTAATGGTGTGGTATAAGTTTGGTTTTGTGTAGAAAGGGTTCACACAACGTTACTGTTCGGCTAATTAGCCGACTTCAAAAGGGGGAGGTTAGGGGGGGTTGCTCTTCAACCTTTTGTTGATGGTCTGTGCGTAGTATTGCCAGCTAGAACAACACTAGAATAGGTTTACTAAATATATTTCTTTGAATACTTTTGTAGAATGTTATTAGAAATATGTTATAGGGAGATATTTAGATTTAGTTTCTTCATAGTAACATTTCTTTCTATATATTACTTTTAAATAGTTATACATAAGTGAGTTAATTTAGGGGATTAGAAGGTTTATAGTATAGTTAATATATTATAATATAGCTTATTAGATAAGAGTAACTTTGAAATTTTAAATACTAGTAGTATAATAGTAGGTATATATTTATTAGTTTATCGAAATAGTTTGAAATAGTATACGGTTATATTTTCTCTATTTTTCTTTTGGCTTTTAATAAAAGGGGGCGTACTTTCTATATACGTATATATTAACCGAAAGGTAATACGACGAATCAAAAACCATATTTTCTTATATTATACAAGTATTAGGTTTTCTTCTGGCGAATTCATGAAGAGGCTCTATACCAGATTTTGAATATGCCCCACTCGCCTGAATGTTACCGTTTTTCCTCCCACAGGTGCTAGAGCTAATCCCATACCACGTGTTTCCTCGGTTACTGGCACATTCTTGTCTAGGAAGAGAGCAACGCAATGCACAATCTCAAGCGTTCCATATTCTGATGGGATGTCAAAGAATAATGTACCCAAGGAATTGCCAGAGTAATCGTCAAGCATAATACATGGACCGTATGATTTATCGGAGCCGTTTGTATGACGAGGGAGCCCCTTGATTTTAGGGCCTAACATGTGTAAGCTTGCCGATTTTATCTGGCCGTATGGATTTGAGGTTGCTAGCTCAATTTTGTGCTTGATGTACTCGGTTATACCCAATGAAGTTCTATCTGGAGTTCTGATAATGTCTGGGAGCTTCAGAGCTGGATCTGGGACACAGAGGGGTCCTCTCTTGCCGGCACGAAATGACGTTGGTCCCACAACGGACGCCCATGACCAGCTTGGGGCAACGTAGATATTATGACGCGAGAACGGATAATCAGGGGTCCGGTTAAAAAGGTCAACGCCTGAATAATCGCAAGCCCAACCCAAACTCCTTCTGATGTCCCCTTCCCATATTCCTACTACGTAACTAGAACCAGTGTACTCCCCCACAATCCGTGCTAACCGCTCAAGGCCGGTAGAACATCTTCGGTCTTGGTCAGCTGCCTCCGAGTATAATTTTCAACAGTGTGATGCCATAAGTTATAAATCTCGTTGATTTCGAGAGTTGTGAGGGAATCAATAATGCGCCTATTGTTCAAGGATAATTCGTTTGTGGCGTCCTTCGTTGGCCAGTATTCAGTGGCTTTTAGCATGCGGCATTGCCAGATGACTTCAATTTGGTGTAGTGTACTATCCGCGGTGATAACTCTCGCTCTTGCATTATCCAACCTCTTTTGTGTAACGGAACATCTATATAGAGCTCTTCCCAACCCGTTTATTTCTTAGTCGCTCGCACGAGTCGTGAATTACCATCCTCTGAAACACACTGAAACTCAACTGAGTCATTATTCACGTCCGATGATTGAGAGAGACCTTTTGAGCTATCTTCTGTTGCACCCCCAAAGATTGTGCAGTATGAATTCTGATATATGACACTCATGAGGGATTATTCATGGGCCCAGTCATCAACAGAGTCTTGCACAATGCAAAGAGAGTCGATCCACAAGTACTTGATGCCCAGCTTTGTCGTCATGTCTGCAGTATGGAGGAACGTCAAAGAGAGATCATCCGGCGAGATGGAGTTGAGCCGAAGCTTCAAATTACTTGGGGTGGTTGCCATAGAAGCAGTAGATATGGTGTCTCATCGATGACTTAGAGCGATGTAACGTGCTTTACTTTCAATTCCCTTACTGTTAATCAGCCGAAGTCTTCGACTTTTGACCCAGAGTGTTAAATCAAGAAGCCGCGTCGGCAAAAACTTGGGATCCGAATGAGTCATGCAAAGATGGTGGGTTTCAAGGCATTCTCGCAGCCAAGTTTGTATTTGGTCAACTGTATTGGCAGAGGAAGTATCGCCAGGAACCGGTATGGGTCCCTCTGTAATAATTAGGGTAACTCAAAAGGTGGGACTTTAGTGGCACGTACCTTCAAATGGTTCTACACCAACAAAGAATGAAGCAGCTGGGCTCTGTCCGCTTTCAGTATTCGCCGGATATCTCTCCATTATTGAATATGATATGGTTGCTGGGGTCATAATAAATAGATTTGTGAAGTCGAGTATACTAAAAGGTTGTATCTCAATCTTGCTGGTTTCCAGTTGTTTACGGAAGAACATACAGAATGGGCATCCATTGTAGGCAGTATTTACCAGATAAGCGAAAGAGGGACGCCAAATAGACCATTTATTTTGGCCGCGAGGCACGATATAGGGACCCCATCTTTTGTCCTCAGCCTCAATCGGTGGGTAAAATGCCTCCAGCGGCAACTTCGCACACTCGGTGCAAAGGTCTTGTCGGGAGACTGTAGATATATCAAGTGATGGATTATATTCTCGGGCCTGAGAGAACTGTCGATCCTTCGCGTTCAAAAGACGAAGAATGCCAGATTTACTGGCAACTTGATGCGCCGTCTTTCCCTCCCAGGAGATGGTGTGAGTATCGGCACCCGCATCCAAGAGCATCTGCACCATTTCCGCTGATTGGTTCCTTACTGCTAGATGTAGATATGGGTCAACTGATCGCAGTGCAGTATTGAAGTCTGCCCCGGCAGAAAGAAGGAACCGGGCTATTTCAAGATGGCAGCCATCCACAGAAGGCTGCATTGCCGTGAGCTGCCCTCCAATGTCTAGCAAATGCTTTACGACAACCTTAAATTCTCGTTGTAACGCCGGATGATATAAATCGACAAGAAGTACACTCATTTCGTGGGAATTGGCATCAAAGTTTTGCACCAGCTTCCCTGAAATATAGAGACGTCCTTCTTGGACGACTGACTTCCAAGGACCGACGAATCTGCCTGTCATAGGTCTCGCTGAATTGTGGTCTGCTCCAAGTTTGATCAAGAGGTCCACAGTATACTCTGTCCCCATTTGAAAAGTACCATGAAGCGTATTTAGATCGCCCGAACGTTGATTTCGGCGCCTGCATCGATCAACCTTTGGAGGATTGAAAAGAATCCTTTCTCAGCTGCAGAATACGGCACCCTTCCCCTGAGATGTAAACGTTCCTCCAAAAGAGCCGCGACAACTTCGTTATTCGCTCCTTGAATCGCTGCTTCCAAAGGGGTGTTTCCTTCCCCATAAGATACTCCTTTATGCCAACCCTGGGCAAGATTTGCATCAGAGCCAGCTTCCAAGAGACACCTTGCAACAAGCAAATGGCCTTTAGAGACGGCTGCGTATAATCCCAAGTCACCATCCACGTTTGCCCCTGCTTGTAGCAACACTTCCACAGCCTCTAACATACCTTCCTCTGAGGCGGCTGTGAGTGGAGAGCGATCCCAACACTTTCGATTGCGATCGAAGGGTGGGTTGAGTCGTGCACCTATACTAATCAGGTACTCCATTACATCTAGGTGACCTCCTGCCGATGCTACGGCGAGGGCTGTTTGATATCCGATGGATTCCTTAAAGATATCTATATCTGCATCAACTCCAATACCCAAAAAGAACTTGACAAGTTCCATGTCTCCGCGGCTTGCAGCCTTATGAAAACACACATTCTTCAGTTGAATAACCTGTTGTAAAAACCTCTCAGCTTGGCGGAGCCTTTCCACTTCCTTGTGTCCCTCATTCTCTATCGCTGATTTGAGAGCCGCGGGACTGTAAAGTCTCGGACTTTCGTTATGTACTGCTTCAAAGAGTATCTTCATCGCTTCCATGTCTTTTGTTCGCATTCTTGCACGGTCAAGTGCCTTGAAGAAGTAATCAAAAGGATAACTTGGCTCCCCTGAATCTGCTCTGAGCAGATTCTGGACAGCAGCTACGCTCCCGGAGCGTGCGGCATTGATGAATTCTTTTGAAGTGAGGTCCCTACCTTCTCATTAAGAGTTGGGGAAATCAACTGTAGTTCCAACAAATCAGGTGTTAAAATCAAGTGACTCGGGAAGGTACGAGCACTCACGGCTTCCATCTCCTCCTTCATACGTTGGAAAATGGGCTGTTTCTAGTCTTCTGACCCAGTGTCTTTGTGTTGCTGCTAGATTGAGTCTTAGAAGAAAATGGCTGAAGCATAGTGTTATTGATTCTGAGAATTCCATACTCGTACTCTGGTCTAATATAAGCAATTTTCCAGTCTGCGATGTCAGCAAGGGGGCTGTGCATGCAGCACTCATACTACCTTGCTAAATAGGCTAAACTAACACACGTGTCGCCTTAACAATATTTCGCTGTTTGTCCTTGTTTTTCCTGCCCTTCCGTCTTCTTACGACACACAGGGGCAAGGAGGTATGGCAGGGCGTCCATTGAGAGGGGTATATAGCACGTGCAAGGCACGTAAGGACGTCGAATGGAGACTTAGAAGGGGTTGCTTATGATGCCGTACTTTAAACTAGGCAAAGTAAATGAAGGTAAAGTAAGAAAGTCTATATTAGTCCAATATCCTTTATTTAGCTAACTATCTAGATGCTTACTTAATTAACAATACTATAGCTATAGAAATCCGAGATAAAAGAACGTTATTTATAAAACAAGATATTAACTATAAGACACAAGATTGGTAGTAGTAGTATAGTCCTCTAATAGACGAATTCCATAGTTAGTAAACGAAATAGAGTAGTCTCCTATTGAGCAAAGAAAGAACTGAGTTCGAATATAGGTACAAACACTCCATCTACCCAACGCCCACGCTATGCCTCCACATCTACCTTCCATCTCAGGATCTCTACAATATAAACATCAATATACATTCTAACAAGCCAAACCCCCACTATTCCTCTGTCTCGGCTCACTCCCCGCCTCAAACGTCCCATTCGCCAACCTCCGAACCCCCTGAACTGAAGCAAGATACGGGCCGACCCACGTAACATTATGACCCCGTCCTCTCAGGTCCTCCACGGTGCGATTATCAAAAGCCCACTCAAAAACACTAACAGCAGGGAGCAACTGATCATGGATCCTAGGCTGCTTCAACGCCTCGGGAAGCGTCATGTCGCGATCAAGGACATACATGACGGACTGCGCGGTGGCGGTGATGATACGGCTTCCCCCCGCGGCGCCGATAGTGAGGTATGGTGTGCCATCGGGATGCTCGACGATGATGGGGGAGACGGAGGAGAGGGGGCGTTTGTGGGGACGAATGTAGTTTATGGGGGAGGGGACGAAGCCGAATGCGTTGGGGACGCCTGGGATGGAGAAGTCGTTCATTTCGTTGTTCATTACTACGCCGGTTTCGGGGACGACGAGTTGGGAGCCGAAGAGTAGGTTGACTGTGGAGGTGAGGGTGATAGAGAGGCCTGTATCATCGGTGGTTACGACATGTGACGTTCCGTGGTTCTCAGGGAGGAAGTGGTGTTTTGGCGAGTAGTATGATATGTTGTGAGTTTGGGAGTCGGATATCCGGTGACGAATGTCGGAGGCGGTTTTTGGCTGAAGCATTTTGGCTTCAAAATCATCCATGAAGCTGAAGAACGCTGGATCGCCGAGTTCTGCGCGAGCAGCGTAGGAGAAACGCATTGCTTCATTTAGTCGATGAGTGTTTAGATACCAGTCTTCCGAGTTACTCAGGTTGTATCCTTCGATGATCTTGAGTATGCTTAGAGCAACGGAACCTCCACTTGGTGCACCGCAAGAAGTGAGTTTGTAGCCGCGGTAAAAGATGCTGATTGGATCCCGGATAGAAATTTGGTAGTTTTTCACATCTTCCAAAGTCATTGTTCCGTTGGCAGCTTGAAGTGCTGCAACATTGTATTTTGCTATATTTGTGAGCGAAGTTCGCTAGATGCAGGGTGCCATTTAACATACCCACGTCTCCTTCATAGAAACCTTTGGATCCATGTTTAGCGATGGTTTCCAAAGTACTACTCAAGATTAGTCTATATTTTGAGCAACATGGAAGCTAAGCTTACTTAGCATATCTCTTCCTTGTCAATATATCACCGATTCCAAGCCGTGTTCCTATAGATAATCAAAACAAGTCCATTCAATTGAGGGCGAAGAAAAGATACCATTTGGAGCAAAATCGATAGCCCATTGCGGATCTTCGGTAAAGAAGTCATTCCCATCGTGTGTTGCAGCATCCATATACCTAGCCAAATCCTCCGTAACTGTACCTTCATCAGTATTTCGTCCCTCCAGTCTTTGTCACAAAGCTCCTCTTACCTGGGAACCCATATCTAGCAACATGAACAGCAGGATTACAAATCGCCCTCCAAGGTAATTTCTGCTCAAAAGTCAGCTCACATTCCCTTCCCTTGCCTTTTTCCTTTTCTCTACCCATCCCTCACCCCCCCCCCCCCC